AGTTTTGCCACTGTGCGGTTCTCTCCTCGGCTGACTTCCTTGAATAAGAAGCCCTTCAATTTTTAGCGTAAGGATTTTAGAAAAAAGTATCGTCTTATAGTTGGAAAAATATGGTAATTCTACAATAGTTTAAGAAGGAATGTACCATGCACTGAAATGTTACTCACTTCTCTGTGTTCTTTGTGGATTAGATTCTTTTCTGCAGTCTAGCCCTTTTAGTTTTATTTATAATAGACAATGTTTTTTTTATTTCTAAGACTCTTTTTAGCTAAAATTCCTTGTATGTACCTTTTTATTTATTTTAATCCTACCAGTTTAGCCTGCAGATATACTGTGTGGGTATATGCCTCATGATTTGCTTTGTGCTAGTTAATGATTGAGGAGGAGGAGGAGGAGAAGGAGGGGGAGGAGGAGGAGGAGGAGGTGATGATGATAATAATGATAATGGCGTTGTTGATGATGATCTGGGCAGCCTCTAAATAGGAAGGTTTTGGTTCCCAGCAGAGTCATAGCTGAGCATTTTAGTGTATTACTTCTATTTTGCAGAAACAATGGAAATCTTATACACTTTTAAGTATTAATACATTTACTATGACTTAACCACTGATGCTGAGACAAAATTATTTTGCTATAAATATTTTCAAGGCAATCTAATCTGTGATTAGATGTAAGGAAATTAATTGAGGTATAACCGAAAAATCCATTTTGCTGACCCCCTTTATCATCTTCCTTTCTTTTCCAATTTGTTGCTGGCTTGGTATAACAAAATAATCTTACTCACAGATTTATAACTCTCATTTTAGTGTTATATTTACATCAGAGAAGTTAGGAGAGTTTTGGTATGCATTGAAACTGAAGGGACAAAAGCCTCATCCAACAAGATTGCCTGAAGCAGAGTGTGAACTTGGAAAGTAAGTAATCCTACATTTAACTTGATTCATGGGTTCAGTTATGTAACTAGAACAAAATATTGTCATTTTCTAAATTGTTTTTTAGACTTTGATATCCAGACCATTAACCATTAGTTCAGCTCTTCATAGACCTGACAGAAAACTACAGACAATGCTCAGCTAGATTAGAATTTTTACTGCAGACAAAAATGAAGCTTCAGCACAACAGTTCATTGCCTATTGTAAAGATGTCCCTGAGACCTATATATTTGTTCTCCAGAGATTAAAAGTCTAGGTTTCTCCTGCCCATCCTTCCATATTAGCAGCTATTTGATGGATCATTTTGTGGCCTTGGGCATTTGAGATGTGTTTAAATAATAATCCTCTTTAGCCTTTGTATTACTGATTCTTGCCTCACCACCCTTACAGTTTCACTCATTAATCTAGCTTGGTTCAAGGTCTCAGGAAGAGAATGGCCTTGCCAGCTAGCACAGAATAAGAGGTTGCTTAGTTATTTAGTCCTACAATTTAGGTTATATGAGATTATTCAGGAGGGAGAAGGTGAATTCTCCGATAAATCCTCAAGCAGGATTCCATGTTAGTGGTGACAGTGGCACCACTATTGGGGGGTGAGGTGGGGTGAGGAGATGAAGCAATGGGAGGAATTCCCCTGTGGAATCAAAGTGTGACGACCAAAGAGACTTTTGACTCCTTGAGAGATTACTACATAAGATGTGATATTCAGACAGCACTCCTTAGCCAGTTGTAACCAAATAAGTGCAAGAATACCATATTCCACCCATGAGAATTTATTTGAAATGGTTAAAGCAGTTTTTCTAAAGTATCCTGTCCCTATGTAGCACCCTCTTGCTTTGTTGGGACTGCTTTGGCTTTGCTGGCTGGGAATTTTGGAATTTGCACTATATTTTTAGAGAGATTTCAGCTGGGAAAGGCTGTTCCAAAGACTGCATCTGTTATGCACACACACTTCAGAGTTGCAAATTATTAAGAAGTAAATAGAGATTATTAAGCAGTGTACAGTTATTAAACAGTGTACTAATTTAAATAAAACCCTGCATCTTCCATTTCAAAACTCACTGAGGGCTTTTAAACCTTTTCTCCTTTAAAAACTATTAGTTTGAACCAGTGTACCTAATTTATATTTCATCTAAAAATTAATCTGTAATATCTTTTTCATCATAAATGCAAAGGCTATCCAAAATGAAATTGGTAGTTAAAACATCCGGGAAAAACCTAGCATGCAATTCTGGGAAAAATCTAGCATGCAATCAAATGCTATTTGGAGGAGTTAATGAATTATAAGTTGCTCTTGGCAATTATTTGTATTGAAAGGAAATGCAGTTATTATCATTTATGGTTTGATTATTATTAATTTTTGCCTGGTTTTTCTGAAGACAGACCTTTATAGAGTGTAGGTGTGCATATAACCTATTTCTTGCTGTAAAATATTTCTAAAAGGTTCTGTAATTGATGTGTAGCTAGCATGACCTATATCATGTCTTGAAAAGACAACTAAATTGATCCTAAAGCTGTTAAGTTTCATTTCTGAAAGCAATGTTACTGCAGTAGATGTTTTAGATGTTTTAATATATTATGAGTGCTGTGTTAATTCTATTAGTGTCTATTACTGTTTTTTAAGTATGGTCATAATTCTTTCTTGAAGAGAGGGAATTGACAGAATGCTTGTTTTTCTTTGACTGGAGTTTCTGTCAATTCATAATGACAAAATATGTGAAATGTTTGCCAAAGGAGTAGAATCAGCATTAGCATTGGTAAAAAAATAATGAACAGCGTGAAGATATTTCCTTGAATAACTTTTCAGAGAAGGGAAAGTGCTATTTAAATAAAATACCCAGCAGCAAGATCAGAATTACTCAAGTATTTTATAATGATTAAGTAACTGGATTTTTTGTGGTGCTTTGTTACAGATGGGTCCGTCAGTATATTCCTCTGGTTAATCCTACATATGAAATTCTGGAACTGAATTTTGTGAACAGCAATCCAGGCCATTTTTCAGTGGAGATTGACCCCAAAGCTCAGGTACATTTTACTGATAAACATTTTGTATTTATGAGAATGTTTCATATGAGACATTTTTCTTTAAGAATGTAGATATTACTGACATTTCCTGTTTTATTGCTTGGGGGGGGGGACTCTTTATAATTCAGTTAAATAGAAAATAAAATGGGATTTCAGGAACTTTTACAGTAATAATTGTCTGGCCAAAATTTCAATAAAGTATTTAGTTTACAGTGAGCAGTTAAGACAGAAGCCCAAGAATGATATAGGAATTAGAATAATCAAAAATATCTTAGTGGAGCAAAGAAGAAATAATGCAATATAATGTGAAAGCCAACACAACTATTTTGAGGAAAAAAAATACTAGGGTAGATAATTGATATTAATTATTGATGTTTTAATGTATAGGATTCCTTTATGCCATAAAGTATATTTGAATTGAGTTTAAATCCTGGTGATGTCATAGACACGTTCATATTGTTGTCGTGGCAACAATATGCAATGGTTTGTTGTTGTCTTCTCTGAGGATTTGTTTTCAAATGCACAGTCTAGTATTTCCTAGTGGTCTCCCATCCAGGTATTAACTAGGCCTGACCTGCTTAGTTGTTTGTGATCAGCTGAAGTTAGCAAGATGGTGCAGCACTCCGTTTTGCCACAGTGAATTGTGGATAGCAGGTTCTGGAATTGGGAGACAATGAACTCACATACAAGATAAAAGCAAAGTATGATTTATTGAAGAAACCTAAGGAAATGACAGAAATATTTTAAAAGAATATGTTGAAGTGTTTTCCAGAATTGATAAAACTCCTCAACATGTCAGTATAAGAGAACTGCATGTTTCTTGCCCATTTTTGCAACAATGAGTCTTTGCAAAGCCAGAAAATCTACTGAATCTCTGAATTTTTCCAAAGCAGTTGAAGCCACCTAATTAGATTTAGTGCTTCAAAATAGTTAGCCTGAATCTCCTTTGAATCAAATCACTCCTTTGAATCTTTTCATAGCTTATATAAAAACAGCTCCAGTAAATCAGCATTACGTAGCTCATTCATTCTGTGCTGGTTTCTGGAGCTTGTTTCCTTGAGATGAATAGCTCATCTAAGAAATATAACCTCCCTTCCAGTGGGATTTTTTAGACAGTGGTGAAATATATGCTTTGTACTAGGAAGATACTAGTTTGAATCCTTAGCATCTCCAGTTTTACGCAGATCTCAAGGACAAAAGCTGCCTTGTAAGTTGTTGCCTGTAGTAGCTTATGCTGTTCTTGATAAATCAGTAGTCTGATTCAGTATAAATTAGTTCTGAAATTATTTGATTTAGGTTATAACAAATTATATATGTTTATTCCAGCTTCAGGAAAGGAAAACCTGAATGAGAGGCCTAAGAAGTTTTATTAATTGTCAGACAGCTGGGCGGCTGGGTTGGGTTATATTCATCACCAAACTAGACAAAGTCTATTGCCAAAAATATTACCATCTACAACAATGGAAACTAAATTTTCAATTAAATGTTGTTGCCTATCTATAAATGTTTCTTGAATTTCTTAAAGTTCGTACTATGTTTTGCATATCTGAAGCAAAATAAGCTTGTTTTGTTCGTTATTTTATTAAAAGTTTTAAAAAATAAGATAAAAACTAATATAAACTAATAAAAAGTAAGAAAGAAAAATGAAAAAGAAAGAAATCAAAGAAAAAAC